TACCACCGTCGACGATCCTACCACCGCGGCAACCACCCGTCGAGCCAATTTTTTCCACTGTGTCTGCGAAACTGGCCAACCTTTTGCAATGATACACAAATGCAAACAACTTAACTAATCATCCCGATGCGATGCACCCATCCCGGTGACATGAGATGAATGAGATGGCAAACGTGCCCGGGTGCCTGACGTGTGTCAACTCGCCTGTATGGAGGGACGTGACGGCGAACGGTCGGCTGCAAGAGACCTGGTCGGCGATCCAGACGGCGACGCAAGATGAGCGCGGCACTCCTGGGAGTAATGGCACACACGGCCACATCTGTAGCACATGATGGGAGGTCGCTGGTGGAGCAGATCGTTGTAGATATTATAGTGACATCGACCATCTTTAGGGCGCCGATTCCAGCGAAGGACAGCCGCTGCAACGTCGCCCGTCGACGGCGCCTCCTCGAGAATGACGACCACTTTCGATGGAGACCAGCCGATGGGCTGACCATCCTTAGCTGAGCCCCCATCCACGCCGCCATCTGCGCCCAGCGCTTCAAATTTTCACGTGCGTTGAGGCAATGTGCGGCCCACAAGGACGTCTTTATTTCGTGGCCGCACGTGGGAAGGGCAACATCCATCTCCGTCGCCAACGCCAACATGCGTTCCATCACCAGCGGATCTAACAGTTCCTATGTTACATTGGGGTATGCATAAACTGCCAAGGCTATCAAGGCGCTTCTGTAAGCAAGGGGCGACTCTGAGCTCTCCCGCCTACGGTGCTGAAATTTCCAAGTTCTGTTGTCTGGTGGCTTGTAGACCTCCGCCATCTCCTGAAAGGCTTGTGTAAGCGTCTTATTCTTTTTGGCGGGAATGGAGCGAAACACGGCCAACGCATCGTCGTCCAGCATGGTGGGTAAGGCAATGAGCGCCTCTTCCTCCAACCATCGGACTGATTTGTAGGTGGCCTCGAAGCGCCAGTGAAAGGCACTCCAATCGCCGCCAGCTGCCACGAACTCGCGCACGTGGGGTAGGTGTCGGCCCCGGTCGGCGCTCTCCTTCGCAGCGGGCGTCGCGATGGACGGTGAAACTTTGCGCGGGAGCGACGAACTAGCGGCCGACGCACCGCTTTCTGCAGCGGTGGTCAAAATGGCGGCCGTGACACTCAAACTTGGCGGGAACAGTGCAATGGCGGCCGTCTCCACCCTGCCCAAAATGGCGGCTGTACTCACCAAAGGGGGACCCCCTCCGAGGCACCGTCACCGGCCCTATGCACGTCCACCCCCGGACGGTCCACCACCGGACTACCTCCAGCGGCGATCGGTGTGACGAGATTGACAAGGCGGAGGAGCACAGTTGTTAGCGTGCCCAACTGGGTCTCCACCCTCTGCCACGGCTCGTCAGGGCGAAGCTGTTGACCTGGCTCCGCCGCACCATCCGCCGCAGGTGCGACATCGGCACCCGTCATGGGCTCCATCACCGAGGCGACGGCAGCCAGGGTCGGCAGGAGCTGAGTCGCCGTCTCGTCGTCGTCGGAGGACACTGCAGGTGGATTCTTCTTTTTATGATGTTTAGACATCGTGTCTTGCAGAATTCTATCAGAACAAGTGCACATCTTGATACCACTGTAATAAGTGGCTCCGACACGGTAAGAACTTGAAGTCGTTTATAAATAAATCTTCGGTACAGCTTGGTTGTCTCTTGTCTCGATCTCACTACGGAATAATCGCCGCCCAGGCGGCTTCGCTGCCCCATGCCACGTGGCGCTTACCCGCTCGCTAACACGCCGCTGGCTGATGGCACGCTAGGGAGTGGTTGAGCGGCTGGAGGTCGATCCGCCACGTGGCCAATGGAGATGGCGGGCAGCAGCGACGGGGAGCTCCTCTGGATCTTCAAAACCGACCTCGCACTTTGCTCCGGCTCCCGCATATATGCGCTCCCCGGCAACTAAACCCCGCCTCTGGCCACGCCCCTCATGGAACCTTCGGGAACGTTCCAGAGGCTTCCCTGGTGGCTCTGCCCCTCACCTTTGCTCTAGATGTAACCCCTACCCCAGATAAACCACAACTGGATGACAAGTAACGCCCCACATAATACAGGAGATGGCGATCTCATTACAAATGTATGAGGGAACACCTTTTTTTTATAACGCGGATGCGAATTGGATATAACGCAATTGAGTGAACATAACGTCGCACGAGTAAGGAGTAAGCAGTTTTACGGCTACCTTGGTGTAGCATCACAATAGGCGAGATGCTGCTGGATGCTTATAGATGCTACCCACGCACCTCAGTCTGTATACGCATCTCACATGTTATCACAGACAGTGCTTTACCCTATATTATTTATTGTAACGCGATTTTTCTATAACGCAGTGTTCTTCAGGAACCCAACTACTGCGTTATAAAACAGATTTGTATGGGTTTTAATCATTCTGATTTTGGATATTATTTTATTATTGTAAAACTACATTTTAACCGTGAAAACATCTGTAATTTGAATTATTTCACCGAAAGCATGTGTGTTTTAAAAACATAGTTTACATTTTCATTACTTTACCCTTTCAAAAATATTCAACAATAGCAATTGTTTTTAAATACCAGAAAGCCTATTTAAGTCTCAAGATTCTTTGGCTGGATGGTCTTGCTTGTGAAATTCGGCAAATTCCATGTGGTGATAACAAGCCCATGGATTCCAGAAGTGTATCAACCTCCTGTTACTGTTAAACTCATATAACCGATCCCTTCCAATCATTCCCACTCTGGTGCAAATGTAGGACTCGTACTCGGGTTGTCTTTCTCGTTCCGTTTATTTGCTCTTTAAAGTCCACACCTTCTCCTCATCACCGCTCCGTGTCTCCCCGTTCGCTCCGTCACGCTATCCACCATCAATGGCACTCTATGTCTCTCCGCTCTCTCTCCTCCTCTCCCAGAGTCCGTCACTCCGCTGCTACCCTACTCTGTCTCTCTCCGATGCATTGCTATCACTGCTACCACTCACTCTGTCTCCTCTATCCACTGCGATCGTACTTTATCCTATCTCTCTCCACTGCTACCGTTATCGTATCTTCCACTGCTACTGTACTTTATCCTGTCTCTCTCCACTGCTATCGTTATCGTATCTTCCTCTACTTACTCCTGCTCTTCGCTATTTCGGGCACCATTACTCCAACTCCTATCCAGACTCCAGCTTTAACCAAGACTCCAGCTTCCACCAAGACTCCCGTCTCTACGTTACGCTATCCTTTTATATCCACCCCAATCAGTCCCTATTAATTATCTCACCCCCCGATTACCCCTCGCCCCCCAGGCTCCCAATCTCACGTGACCTTGTTGTTCCCGCCTGGGCGACACCAGTCATTAAGCCCTCACCCTCTTAGCCAATCACCGGCCTGTATCCCCGGTTGCCCTTAACACCTGTTACGCCACTTAACGTGTCTCCCTCACGTCTCAGCAACAACAACATCGTCCTCAAATACCCCCTGCTGTACACTTGCTTGCTTGCATAGCAACAGACCCACAGAGCGCGTGGCGCGGCAAATTCCAAGTCCTACACAAGTGTAGTGACATGGAATGGGTCACTATGGCGCGAAGCGCTGGTTGCTGGCAGAGAAGGGGATCTGCTGTTGTAGCAGCCCAGTCTGCCAGCAGGTTACGTGGTAAGCCAGAGAAAGGGATGTGGGGAAAAGGTAATAGAGGGGGCACGTGAGGTAAAGCACGGGACTTCTAGTAAGTTCTAGAAGGAGGGTGTGGCAGAAGGCGGAGCGAGGCCACGCTGGGTGGATAAAAGGGGATCCCGAACAAGGTTTGGGGCTGTTGTTTGGAACCCGTCCTTGCTACTGGAGTCTTCGTCACCGTCTTAACCTCCTCGGCGTTGTTAGTCAGACAGCCTGTTAGCTGTCCTGACCAGAGTCTAGTTACTCCATGTACCTGTGAAGGCTATAATAAAAAGTGCCTCCTACTATTAGTGTCTCTGTGTGACTAACTACACAAGTGTCACCCGACGCAAGCATTAATGATTTGCAATACATTGACTTTATCCTGTGGGTACACTTTAGCCATAACTTAAGTTAGAAAGTCATAGAACCCATCTGACTCTATGGATGCTAATATTCACAAGCCAAATGTTTTATTGGTCTATGACAATTTTTTTACCAGAGTATATTTATCAGTACATTTTTTTTAAATAATTACTGTGGTCGTGAATAGGGAAGGGCTAGTGATAAAAAGGTTACAAACAAAGCTTAACAACACAAACTTTTATAAAGATAGACAGCAGAACGCAAGCCCTTTGGACGTGGCCATCTATCCCCTTCCATCCATACACTTCCCTACCATTTATATAATAATTTTTTTTATACTAAAAGCAGTTTTTGTTTGAGTTAGCACGTTACCCAAAATCGGACAACTGTATGTACATACCTGGGATATCTGCTGATGTGAATGCTCAATCATTACCTATAAAAATATGTGCAAAAACACACTCGTCAATAACACTGCTGTAAAAAAAATATAGGCCAGGAGAGATATATTTAATAAAGGTTGGAGACTGCACTGAAGACTACGGAGCCTGATTAAATTTTAATGAAACACGTTTATCTGAGGGCTAGTTTTAAATAGGCGTATGAATAATCGCTATTAGCAAGTTACTATTAAGGCCAGCATGGCGCACGAGGAAGTGATGTTGCCAGCAACACGTTCGGCCGCCTTTGTCTCTAGAGTGCTGATGATTGCACATTTTACAGTGTGCTCATTTGAGGCTAAATAGGCCCAATCCGAGTTCTGATATTATCTGCTGATGATTTTAGACGTGCCTGGGAATCAAAGTCTGTTTGCCAAGTTCATGGTGAAATGCACTTTCCACTGTACCACCACTCACCAGAATGCTAATAACATACATACATACCAGTCAGCTGCATCATGGTAGCAGACACACACTCTGAATGTGAGGAATGTCAATATTTGACTGTACCATGAGTACTGCTGCTGGAGATAAAAATGAGTGGTCTGTTACTCCATGTTCACAGTTTGAGGACGTGCCTTCAAATTATTGGGACTGTGGTGCGCAGAAGTTGCTGGATCTGGCAGACGTGAGAGGCGTTGTCGAGGAGCGGAGACATCAGATGCATGAGCAGTGATGAGGTATTGACGCAGGAATATGCATGCAAATTGTGACTTTAAACAGATCCTGATGAATGTTAGTACGCAATGATCAGTTCATGTGTTTATGTTCCGCATATTTGCAATATGCTTGTAAATTTTCTGTTATTGTATTGCGTCACAATTGTAGCAACAGTATGTTAAGGTTATACGGGTGGTCGTTGTCGTTGTTGTGTGTGTGCGCGTGCCCCTGTGTGTGTGCAAGTAGTTACTCATTAAGCCCCTTCTGACAAGCAAGCCAGGATCGGGACTCAAGGTAAGTGAAAATAAAACGGAGTATTTTTTCTTTTCATGTTATTTCACGTTTTATGTACTATACACTATTTATTACAGTATTAAATGCAAATGTTAATATTCATTTTTTTTTAGTTTAACAATGCTTAATTCTTTTGTTGAGCCGTAGCACATTTTATAATACTGACCGTATAGGCAGTGAGAGCTAATTTAAATAGGGTTCATTATATTCTATGTTCTATGGTTCTTTCGGTAAAGTCACGTTGACAGAAAAAAATAACAATAAACTAAAAAATTAAGTGAATAAACATATCACGACGTTTCGATCGCAACACAAGCGGTCGTCATAGGCAAAGGAGTCAGCCTCTAAAGGCAAGCTGTTTATAAGAGTTTGGGGATGGGCATAGCCCAAGTGCATCACCAGGACCGGAAATATGGGCGGTACACTAATGCGAAGCAACAATGCCAATGCAGCTATCAACAGAACCAGGAGCATGGGCGGTCCACAAGTGCCTATGCAGCAATGATGCTAATGCAGCTGCAAAAATCCCTGCAACCCGCTCCACACACCACATTGCCGACGGTGGAGGTTGATTATACAATTTTATATTCATTATACATTATACTATTGTATATATGGAGATTCGTTCAAGACAGTGTTATTTCTTTAATATGGTTATGGCAGTAGACAGGAGAGGCCGGCTACTTGGTTAAACATTTAATGCACCAAATATTGTTGTTTAGTCCACTGGTAGGCTGAAGAGCCATCACAACCATATTTACCAGGTACAATATTGAATTTGAAACTACGTCAAACATCAGGACAAAATCTCTAGAAATTCTGACTAACAATCTAAGATGTCTGAATCTCTGAGTTACTTTAAATCAGTGTCATGACCTCATAGGAACACCCAATGAGATTTTTATTATATAGGCAGACCTCGTTTAACATCCAAGAGGCATTCCTGAAGTGAGAGCAAATTGAAATAGCGCTTAAAGGGTTAATTATATTATTGTGTATGTGGAGATGCGTTCCCGACATTTTTATTTTTTTAATATAAGCAATATGAGGGCTTCATTGGGGTATTGGTAATAGTGCTAATAATAATAATGCTAAGACGAGGTTGGAGCTGCTCCGCTTCCAATTAGGGTCTTAGTGATGCCCTCAGTTAAATTTCTGTGGTGAGGATTCTTTTAGGTGGAGCCTGAGACTTTATACTGGTCTCGTGAGTTCTCATCTGGCTAAACAAACTGTAAAAACGTTGGAAGAAATATATATATTTTTACAGAAATAATCGTGACCACAAATAGTTTGATTTGTGGGGAGGGGGGGGGGAGTCTGAGTGAAGAATGGGGAAAGGTATATTTTCTCACTCGTAAGCGCTTTATGTTTTGATTTCATTTTTTTGTTATAAAAAAAAACTTTTCTCCAGGACAAGAGCACTATAACGAATCAGAATTATATGGGATCGAGCTAAGCGAGGTCTGCTTGAATGTTAACCATTACAAATGCATGTATTAACATTTTAATAATAATATATGTGGACCAATGATTAACATATGCATTACTCACTATAAAAACTGAACATACTAGCCTGTGTCAGAATAGCATTTTTACTGAAGCTTAATACTAACTGTTATAAATAGTATAGTTTATGATTAAATATATCAACTGCTTTAAAAAAATTATATGCTTCCAAGCCACACTTTATTTCACAATGTCACCTCAATTAAAGTTATGATATCTATATAAATGGATTCCCTCATTATTACTTGTCTGAATATGCTGGTAGAATTAGGCGAGTAAACCGCTGCCTAATTCTGCTTAGTGTAGTGTCCTCATAAATAGGCTATGCATGTGTCTGTGTGTGCAGACAACTTTTGGTGCACCCTACTACTTGAGCTGTGCGTTCACTCTGCTGACTGCTCTACAACACAGAACGACAAGATGGGGCAGCTGGCTGATGATGTCGCAACTTCGCCAGAATGGAAATCCTTGATAATGAGTCAAGTGCTGATCAGCCTGGCCCTGATCTGTATGGTATTCCTAACTGTACGGGCTGCCCTGCAAGTAGTGGGGTCAACAATCTGCCCAGTGGGCTTCCCCCCTGGTCCTAAACCATTACCGCTGCTGGGGAACATCACTGTCTTAAGTTGCAAGAATCCCCACATTGGCATGCAAGAATTGGCCAAAAAATATGGAGAAGTCTGTACCATAATGTTGGGGAGAACGCCTGTTGTGTTGGTGAGCGGCTACCAGGCAGTCAAAGAGGTCCTGGTGAATCGAGGTCACGAGTTTGCTGACCGACCAATAACTCCCCTTTTTACTAAACTCACTCACAACATTGGTATCGCATTAGCACCCTATGGAGACGCATGGAAGCAGCAGCGCCGATTTGCTTTGTCAACATTGCGCAATTTTGGCTTCGGAAAGGCAACAATAGTCGACAAAATATTGATAGAAGCGAGGTATCTAATAGAGACTTTCAAACACGAAACCTCAGCGTTTGACCCTCACTTGAATTTCAACAATGCTGTGGGCAACATAATTTGCTCCCTCCTGAACGGGATCCGATATGATTATAACAATGAGCAGTTCCAAAAGCTTACACACCTCCTTGAGCATCTCGTGCAGTTACAAGCAGAGCCGCTGGTAATACTGTGTAATGTATTCCCATTTCTGCTAAAGTTGCCTGGGCCATGGCAGAAAGTATTCCATATTCACACAAAGTTGCAATGCTTGCTCAAGGATATAGTATCTGAGCACCGTGCCACAAAAGATCAACACAACCCCAGGGACCCGATTGACTCATATCTAGCTCAGATTGATAAGGAGGACAATCCCAACAGGAGCTTTACTGACCAGACCCTCATTCTGATATTGATGGAACTTTTCATTGGTGGCATGGAGACTACCTCCAACACACTACGCTGGGGCCTCCTCTTCATGATGATGAACCCCGACATTCAAGCCCGATGTCATGAGGAGATTGACAGAGTTGTGGGATCCGAGCGATCGCCATGTATGAAGGACAGACGCAGCCTGCCCTACTTGGATGCTGTGATCCATGAGATACAGCGCTTTGGTAACATTCTTCCATTTGGAGTTTTGCACCCTACATCTAAAGATGTGCAGTTCAACGAATACTTGTTTCCAAAGGGAACCCATGTAATGGTAAACCTCATGTCTGCTTTTTACGATGACATCCACTGGAAAACACCACATAAGTTTAACCCTGATCATTTCCTTGATAAAGATGGCCAGTGTATCCAGTCGGATGCTTTCCTGCCATTCCCTGCTGGTCCCCGTGTCTGTTTGGGGGAAAGTTTAGCCAAGATGGAGCTTTTCATTTTCTTCACATCTCTCTTGCAGCACTTTGAATTTTACTGGCCCAACTCCGTCTCTCCTCCCACTTTAGCTGCCAAATTCAGTACCACTCTATCGCCACACCCCTATAAATTAGGGTTACGCATACGCAACTCACCGTAGCTAAGACAAGATTACGACCCATAGACGTCTTAATGTGTAAAACTAAACACCTTTTGTCTTAGCTTTGTACGGACTTTTTTGCAAATCATGGCAATTGTCATTAGGCCATATTGTAATGCCCAGTTGCAGGAAGTCAATTCAAATTTAAATGATTGCAATTAATGTAAGTGATATGCAATATAATCCTTTGCTTCAATAAATATACGTATTTTAGAACTTTAATACATCGACTATACAGTTTTAATATTAATTTCAGGATTGGTCCCAGTTTCTCGTTTCCTGGAGTAATGTCTCTGTAAACATACTTACGTAAAATCATTACACTCACTATATCCATATACCAGCATAGCCATTACCTCAAATAACTCACACTATTAATGATAAAATAAAAAACACTCAATCCAAGTCTGATTAAAGGAACCTTACTATTGTGAGCTCTGAATTAAACAAGAACATAACCATTGTCCTGTCATCATTCAACTCATAATCATTCAACTGCTCACCTGCGAAGCTGACAGTGGTTATGTTCAAGTGTGGTGGCATTAAACATAAATATTGTTGCTTCATGTTTAAATTTGAGGACCACTGGTTTGTAGATGAGGACCCACTTGTGCAGCCACCGTAGATTTTTCATGCAGTGCAGGTTCGAGTAATTCCTTGGTACTCAATAAAAATACATCATGGCACAAAGGTGGCATAGGGTAAGGTATCAGACATTATCCTGGCTTGTATGACTCAAACATTGTGTAATGATTAGCATACTGGACTTGCAATCCAGAGAACAATGGTTTAATTGGATATCATGGCACAGCAGTGGAAGTAGTGCAGCCTCTGTCCACCCAGCATCATTAATGGTTATACCACAATTAAGTTGATCAGCTAGTAACATGTGGTAGGGTAAACTGTGACTAGGCCCACCTCTTTAAGCACATGGAAGAGTAGGCCAAATACCCTCTGGAGTTCCCTCAAGTGTAGAGGTGTATGCTAGCAATTGCAGGCATACTCTTTTATTTTTCTTGAAAAACGAGGGGAAATTTACCCAGTTTTGTCAGATCTAACAAAGTTAGGGAATCACCAGATAAACCTAAAAAAAGTCACCAGATATCGCTATTTTAACATTTGAAAGTTGCCAAAAATGTTGCCAAAAATATGTAACTTGAATGAATGAAATTACTCATATTCTTAAAATGTATTTTGTTCGTAACATGTGAACATGAATGATGACGTAGATATAAATTAAATATTGTAGTTCTGCATTAATGTCAGTCAAGTTGGCTACCTGCATAGCTCCTCAGGCAGCTTTGAGCCAGCAGTCAACATCGTTCTTTACCAGCACGTTATCTTTATTGCTGTTGTCCGCATTTTAAAAAGTCACTAGACCATAGTTAGTCAACCTGATACTTTTTCATCACTTCGGAAAACTCAAAAGTCACTAAACATAGTAACACAATTACTTGGTTTGCAACACTGACCTTAACACACGGAGACTTGGGCCAACCACTGGTACCTAAAGATGACTTGTTGACCAATTAAGAGTCTACAAGTGCTGTGCAATTTATGAGTTTGTGATAGATAGTGAGTGCAATTCATTACTAAATTCCCATTGGAATTGATTACGGATTCCTGACTTTCGGAATAAGTAACCGTTAAGATCATCTTTTGTATATTAACTGCTTGTGCAGATGATCCACATGTGCAGACAGTGCTGCTGAGTGCGAGAGCGTGGGTATGAAACTGGGTGATAATGTTTTGTTATTGTTTCTGATCATCCTGTGTTGCGAAATGCTATTGTAGTGAGTCACTTCTGAGACACTAAGAGTAGGAGGCAACACACTTTTATTCTACACTTAGACACTTGTTCACACACGGTATAACTATAAACGGGTCTGGACTGCCGGTTCGCTGCCTGACCCACGACGCCGGAGATGAAGACGTAGCATGACGGGTTCCATTCCAACGACAGACAGCCCTGATCCAGCCTCGGGACTTCCCTTTTATGCCTCCCGGTGTGGCCTGGCTCCGCCCTCGGCCACCCCCCTTCTGGAACCCACCAAAAGATTCTGGGCTATACTCCACGTGTCCCCTCAGTCACCTTTGGCCCACATCCCTTACCTCCGGTCTATCACATACCCTGTTAGCCGGCAGGGCTGCTATGTCCTCATATCAACCAGCGCTACGCACCCGAGTGACCTATTCCATGGCATTGCATGTTCTGCTGGCAGATCGGCTGTTACACCCTGCTCTGCTGGCAGATCGGCTGTAACGCCCACAATTCCCCTCTCTGTCAGAAACCATCGCTATGCGCCGTAGTGACCCATTCTATGTCACTACACAATTATGACTACCCTATCATAGTGTAGTGAGTCCAACTGAGTCACAGACGTTGTCTTGGGAGCAACACTATTTATTCAACCAACTTCAACATAACATAACACAACCCACACTCGGGTATCGAATGCCTGTCTAACCACCCTACGGCAGACCTAGACATGGTGCGCTATCCCGGCCCGGACCACAAGCTGGGTCCCAGACCGTATGGCTAGAGGCTTCTTCTCCCCGACATTGATCTACATCACCAACTACACGAAAGAACCCCAAGCTCCTCACGGGGCCCCCGTTATATCGCCCTGGGCTGGGCTGGTTCTGCCCTTCGTCCCGCCCACCTTCCAGATCTCTCGAGCTCTTTCTCAAAGGCTCCCGAGAGCTCTTTTAGACCTCGTGACCGCCCAGCGGCCCCTGTCCACCGGTGGCCTCCCTCCAATATAATTCGGTCACATGTCAGCAGGTCAACCAGCGTATCATGCCCCAACGTAACCCTGGCTGGCTGACACTCCCTCTCGTTCCCTCACCGGGAACTCGCACAGCACACTGCTCGCTGTGCCTCCACACTGACGAGTGCTCCCCCAAGCCCGGCTAGGGCTGGTACTATGCGTCATAAGTGGGCTACACATAATGGCAACACATTATCCGCCGTGGCTTCGTAAGCCCGGCACCACACAGTGACAATCACAGTCACTACAATAGAATGATGTAAGCCACGTTTGACAACACTGTACAGCAAAGCATTGCCCATCGCTGGGGTTATGTTCTTAAAAATAGCCACAATCGGCAAATCCGTTATCCGCAAACACAAAGATATATAGGCTAACGAAGGTTTGGTTCATGGTTTGGAAAACATCCCCTCCTTTTGTTTTTATATTACCCAACGTCAACTAAAACATTAAACAGGAAGTTTTTTGTATTAAATTTGATTAATATTTTCTCGTGTTAAATATAACTTATGCGGTAAATTTATAGAATGAAAAAAATTACGTAGCGTACCATACACATATCTGTGTACAGTAATGTACATGACAGGACGAAAAATCGTGCAGCTGAATCCGACTGGAGGCCGGGAGCACGGGAACTGATACCAGCAAACAAGATGGAGATACAATGGCATGTAGCATCATTGCTTGCAGTACAGTTACTATGCACACAGGAATCTCGCAGTGAACTACATATCCTCCAGCAACAGGGTCGCGATTGGCGAACTGTTGCTCAATACATTTGGTGCAAAACCGAGATAGCTTCACCCATAAGAGGGAAGAATATGCATTTTCTCAACACATTCCTGCGGAGGGAGCCGATAGGAACGTTGGGTTGCTCGGTCAATGACCAGGGTCAACGGCGGCGTGGTGCATTCCGCAAATATGCCCGACTGTGAGGGCGGGCACAAGCCGGCGTGAATAGGTTAAACGTTGAGTTTTATAAGGGCACCACGGGGTGACCAGCCCCTCCCCACCCAGCCCCACCCCTCCCACCCCCCAGCCAGCCCCACCCTCCCCACCCAGCCCCTCCCCACCCTCCCCACCCAGCCCCTCCCCACCCAGCCCCTCCCTCCCCACCCACCCCCTCCCTGCACGACGGACGGACGGACACAATAATCCCCTGTGGGCTGGTGTAACCAGGAAGTTCCTACCAGTATCACTATCAATATCTGCCACACGATATTAATGATTTTGAGATGCCAGTTTTTCTAAATTGTCACTGATTATCGCTGTATATAGACTACAATTTTTAAAACCGATTACCTTTCATTACCGGTAACATTGTAAAAAATTATCATAAGCCATTTGCCTCTTTTTCACATACACGATATTAAAAATAAAGATAAATGTACAACTATGTGTTGCATTTCTTTGCGTGTCATCTTTTATATGGTGTAATGGTTAACATACTTGACTTGTAATTCACCACTCGTGGTTAGTTTCTATCTCCTAGCGAGCAGTGATAACAAGTGGGGTAAGTTTATCCCTCTTGTGTCCACCCAGCCAGATATATGGGTGCAACAATATTACAGGCAGTCCTCCACTTACGAACACCTGTACTTACGAACTAGCTTCCATGAAATATAAAAAAGCACTGACTTCAAACGAGAACTCGCACTTGCAAACTGAACTGTGGAATTATTCTGATCAGTGGAGTGATTTTCCGCAAGATGTAATGAGCCAGCCTCGTGCTGGGAGTGTGTGTGTACACACTCGCACATTGTGCGTGTGTGTGAAAGTGAGTGTGTGGGAAGTGGTAGAGTAGCGGTTAGTAGGCTGTGCTACAAAAGCGTTGACCCGAGTTTGCTTCTTGCTCATGGCCAACACCATTGAAGATATCTTAACCGGTCCTGAGACTACCTATGTCGACTCAGCCCCAAACGAGTACCTGGTGCGGTGTGTAAACATCACCACTGGGGAAACAAAGGCAGTCGGGCGTGGCGCTGGGCACTCACCCCCTCGTGTGCTATGCCGGCTTTCATTGGCACTGCTCACTAACAGCACTTGCCCCAATAGCTTTGTAAGGTCATACAGGGGATCTTTGTTATTGGGGTGTGTGTCTTTATTTTATGTGCAATTGTAGTAACTCAAGGTATTAGGACTCAAGGTAAGTGAAAATAAACTTTTTTACATTGATGTTATCTCGGCCTCGCTGTGCGCTGCGTTGCACCGCTAGCTGAGTAGTTAACCTCGCGTCCAATAAACCCTCAGAGCCAGGATGAACGCCTGACTCCAAACGTCATTTATTGAATTTAACGAGGTAAAACTGGTGAGAAAACAGCACAGATACAGCATCTGTTAATACCCGGAAACACCAACACAATGAATGAACACCACAGCATCATAATATTGTCTTAGATAACATTTTTCTTCTCAACAATAGATCCTGGATGGACCAGACACCTACATTACCACTGAATAGCTATACAAGAGCATAAGCTGCTGTGTTACATAAAGGCACACCGTGTTATCATCACACTGCACCCCAGATGTACAGTACTACACATAACACTGCACTATGAATGAGACATTTTGTCATCCTTGCAGATCGCAATAAAGTTACTTGGGTACAAGTTTGACTCGACTTATTAAATTACAAGTAACATTCACAATAGGGAAAGTTGCAGGCTTCGTTGTTAACTAGGCCTCGTATTTATCATAGCAATTTAACAGCATTATAAAGGCATTTACATCATTATAACGGTCATTATAACATTATAACAGCATTGCCAATATTATAAGAACATAAACGAACTTACAGACAATGCTTCTTAAAGTCCCACAATGGACAATTGCGGCTGGCTTCACTGGGACGCGATGTGTGCCGCCATCTTGAATTATGTGTGTAATGGCCGACGCCCGCGTGGTTGAGCGGGAATCTTAAATCGCAACTTCCTGGTCACGTGACCAAACTTAGCATCAAAAACAGGAAATTTCTGTGTACATACGCCCACATCTGCTGTGAGGCAAGACACCTGCCGTGAGCTAGAACAGATGTTATTTTATTTTGTGTTTTATTTATAATACAGTGTTTTTTCACAGGATCACATGTGTAGCATCAATGCGCCGACTGGTGGCTGTAATGACTAAGTACGTGGGAGTGACCACAAGAGGGAGAAGAACTGGGCCAAGGGTCAAAGAGGGGGTTTATCGGGAAGCTCCCAGAACCCGCGAGATACTTCGCAAAGAGGGGCGTGGCCAGGGGCGGGGCATGGCCGCGCTAAGGGGATATAAGGGAGAGTGGAATGGGGTTCTGGGCGCGAGAGGAATTCGGGGTCCTCCTCGTCATTCTTCATCATCGTCGTTGCTGCTGTCTCCTCATTGTCATTGTCATCGCTGCTGTCTCCTCGTTGCCATTGTCGGCGCTGTGTAGCTGTCTCACTATTTAGTGAACATCGTTATAAGTCACTATATAATTTACCAGCTCTACAGTCAGATATTGCCATGTCGCTGTACAGTCAGCCAGCTATATAGCCAGTCATAGATACATTTTAGTGACCGTGTCATTAAAAGTCGTAACTGTATGTCAACGAAAAATGAATGAGAAGCCCTCCTCCAGTCCGTGTCTGAATTCGATACGTTACATTTTGTAACGTCTATTTGTTCGTGCAATTGTAGTGACTCATTCTCCCAGTTCCAACAAGCAAGCCAGCATCAGGCCTCAAGGTAAGTGAAAATAAAACAGTTTTCTAAATATGTATGTTACTTTATTTTGTGTTTTATTTACGACGAGCTTTACTTGGATTTTTGTAATGGATTAATTTCATATTCCCTTATATTTCACTGAAAAACCCTGAAAAAAATGTATGCTTGCAAGAAAAAATCCAAAAGAAATAAATTTAACTAAATCGGATGCTTTTCACTCAAGGAAATTCAACCTTCAGCTACATAAGGTCGATTTGGCAACTCAGGAAGGCAATGACGTGGCAAGCTGAAAATAGTCGCGTTCACTTAGAAATTCCAGACAGCATTAGCTGTGCAAATTTCATGACGTCAGAGCTCAGTGTTCGAAAGTTATTGCTGCTTTACACAAACAGATGTATTTTCTGCTTTATATTTAAGATAGCAATTGTACCTGTTATTTGCACGGATATGTATTGAAACTCCGAGAAGCCAATGGCTTCATCGGCCAGGAGCGAAGCGCTACCTAAAATCTCCAGGCACGCTGTTAACAGCTCTAGAACTACGGCGCGCAAAGAGCCATATGGTAGGGGTAAGCATTGCAGCCCGCTTATCTCAGGTGTGTTGCGGGTTGACGCCACACACCTCACGGTCATTCCCCCCCCCCCCCCATCCAAAATACAAAAGTCTATTTTTATACTTTTTACATTGTGTACAGTATAGAACCTACCCACATGCCAAATTTCAAGTTTGTAGCATGTTGGGAAGTATGCTAAACATTTCGAACAGACACACATATTCGCAAATTTCCCTTTTATATATATAGATAGTTTTTTTTCACAGTATTACATGTGTAGTAGGTTAAATTCAGGCGCACACTGGAACCTTGGAGGCAACACTATTTATTAGCTAACACAACTGGTAACACTTAACATTAACAAGATAACGACATTGGGCGGTAGCCACCGTTCCTAACTTAGCTAACACACTGGGATACTACATGACTGGACCAGGACAGCTCAACACGCTGTCTGGTCCACTAGCGGAGACTAGAGACCGAGGATCGTGGATGGCGGCTTCGTTCCCAGAGTTGACCCAGCAGAACAGCCCAGCTCTCCGTCCACACCCCGCTTATATCCACTCCGGCGTGGCCGGCTCCACCCCAGGCCATGCCCCCCTTCCCAATCCTTTGGGAAGGCCCGAGCCCCCAACCACGTGACTCCCTGGGGCCCCTGGCCCCCCTTTATCCAGTCACGTGTCCTGTTGGGTTCACACAGAGTGTCACGGCCTGACACGACCTCCGTGACACCCGCCTACAGCCCCCATAACGAACCAACACAGTCGTGTCGTTCTACTATACTACATATGTGTAGTGGCATAGCACTGGCTGCTGGCAGAAAAGGGAATCCGTGGCATATGGCAGTCCTGACATCAGCAGGCCAGGATATACACAAGAGAGGGATGTAGGGGAAAGGTCACAGAAGGGGCACACCAAGAACCCGCTAGTAGGTTCCAGAAAGGGGGCGTGGCCAGGGGTGGAGCGAGGCCACGCTGACAGTATAACAGGGGCCCCTGTAGGGGATCTCGGGGTTGTTGTTGAAGTGGGTTCCCTGTCGTGCTGCTGAAGTCCTTCGTCACCGTTCTTCTCGTCATCTTCACCATTCTCATCGTCGTCTCCATCTTCACCATCTTGGGGCATGGCTAGTCAGGCAGCCTACCAACTGTCCTGACTGAGTAGCGTCGCCGACAATGGACGGACTAATTATTAAGAGGGTAGCGACTGTACTTGTCACTTGCGAAGTCACGGCCAGTAATGTCATTGTGGCCAACCCGGGTTGCGAGCTGTAGTACCAGCACTAGCGGTGGTTGGGTGAGCGCTGCTTAGCGCAGAGGCACCGCGAGCATTGTGCGGTTCCGGCTCCCAGTGAGGGAGCGAGAGCGAGCGTCAGCCAGCCAGGGTTACTCTGGGGCATGATACTCTGGCTGACCTGTTGTCACGCGACCGGACGATACTGGAGGGGGGCCACCGGTGGTCGGGGGCTGAGGGGCGGTCACGTGGTCCCGAAGAGCTCTCGAGAACATTCGAGAAGGAGCTCGACAAACCTGGAAGGTGGGCGGGGCAAGGGGCAGAGCCAGCCTAGCCTGTGAGCATTTAATGGGAGCTCCGTGAGAAGCTCGGGGTTCTTCAAGTGTTGGTGTTGGAAGATCCATGTCGGGGAGAAGAAGCCTCTAGCCACGCGGTCCGAGACCCAGCTTGTGGTCCGGACCGGGATAGCGAACCGTGTCTAGTTCAGCCGTAGCGTGGTTAGATGGGCATTCGAGACCCGAGTGTAGAGTGTGTTGTGTTACGTGTTAATGCG